TGCTAGATATGCCATGTAACATATCTCTGCAAAGGTTATGATCTACTGGATATATTCATCCTATTTGTATGCATGTATCATTTTTGTATTCGAATTTATGAATATTGGCTATGTATTTGTTTAATTTTAAGTAGCCTCAGTGAAGCAGTTGGTCGGCTTCCTGAGAAAAGACTATTCTCTGTAAGTGCCCAATCAATAAACACATAAGCGAACAATGAACTTTGAGATGCCAATCCACATCTGAGCTTTCCTGGGAAAGTGGTCTGGCTTGTAAGGAACTCAGTCATGCATGGACACCTGACTTGCCAATATGAGTCCAAAACTCCATCTTCTGGATAGGAGAGAACATCACCCTCAGAGATGTTTCAATAAGTTTCTTTTACAGACTAGCCTCCTTCAGGGGTGTGAGTGATTGCTAGACTCAGACTTGAAGGAGGCTAGTCTGTAAAAGAAACTTATTGGAACATCTCTGAGGGTGAGATTTCCATCTATAATCACTCTTACTGTATTAGGTTTAGACTTGCGTGTTTTATTTTACTTGGAAATTCACTTTGTTCTGTCTGTTATTACTTGGAACCACTTAAATCCTACTTTCTGTATTTAATAAAATCACTTTTTACTTTTTAATTAACCCAAAGTATGTATTAATACTTGGGGGGGGGGACAGACAGTTATGCATATCTCTCTATCAATGTTATAGAGGGCAAACAATTTATGGGTTTACCCTGTATAATCTGTTTTACCCTGTATAAAGTTTTATTTGGGGTTTGGACCCCATTGGGAGCTGGGTACCTGAGTGCTGGAGACAGAAACACTTCTTAAGCTGTTTTCAGTTAAGCCTGCAGCTTTTGGGGGACGTTGTTCAGACTTGGGTCTGTGTTTGTAGCAGGCTAGCATGTCTGGCTCAAACCAGACAGGGCACTGAAGTCCCAAGCTGCCAGGGAAAACGGGCTCAGAGGTAGTCTCGGCACATCAGTTGGCAGTCCCAAGGGGGTTTCTGTGATCCAATCTGTCACAGCGACCATCTCCGGTGTCTCTTAGGGAGAGTCCACCAGATGGTTTGCTACAGCCTGGCTGTCCAGAGCACCTGAGCCAGGGCAGGAGGAAGTTTTTTCAGAACAGGAAAAAGAAACTGAAGAGGAAGCTACCCTTCCAGCACACTTCTCCTCATCTCTTCCAGATGAGGCTGTGCTGCCCACCCCTCATCACTAGGTGAAGATTTTAAGAATTTTCTGGATCTTACCAAGAGGGTGGCAGACGAGCTGCAGATACACATCACAAGTTCTTGGAAATTCTACACACCACCTTCTCCTCTAGAATTGTCCTCCCAATTAATGAAGTGATTCTAGATCCTACCAAAGTCATCTGGCAGACACCACCAGCCTCCATCGCAGCAACCAGCAACAGAGTGTAAAAACAGAGTGTGACAACAAAACAAACAAAAACCAACCCCCCCCCCCACATCTTTACCCAAAGAGGCAGACTTTTTCAACATCCGCAACCCAACTCCATCATAGTGGATGTGGTTAATGCACAAAGCAAGAACATAATGCCAAGTCAACTCCATATGAACATGCTTGGCAAGATGGTGTATTCATAGAATCATAGAATATCAGGGTTGGAAGGGACGTCAGGAGGTCATCTAGTCCAACCCCCTGCTCAAAGCAGGACCAATTCACAATTTTTGCCCCAGATCCCTAAATGCCCCCCTCAAGGATTGAACTCACAACCCTGGGTTTAGCAGGCCAATGCTCAAACCACTGAGCTATCCCTCCCCCCCTAATTTCATCGACAACATTACTGTTTATGGCCAAATATAATTTTATGAAATATGGGAAACCTAGTGTGTTTCTGGAATGTTACTGGAAACACAAAAAGAACAGATTCAGACCATTCTTAGAGATGGTCAGTTAATAGCCAGACTGATCCTAGAGACAGCACTGGATGTAACTGTTATAGCTGCCCTCCCAGTCTCCATGACAGTGGTACTGAGGCGGGTTGTGTTGTTTTTGTTCTACACTGCTCTAGATAGCCTAAAGAGCTACCGACTTCCAGTTTGAAGGGCCAAACTCTTTGCGGAGAAGACAGATTTTCTCTCCAATTCCTGAAGGATTCTTGGATCACGTTACACTCTGTAGGAATCTACACTGGGACAGAAGAGAAGATATACCTCTCAACCACACCACAGGTCACAATCTTCTCAATACCCACCATCTCAGTGCAGTTATGAGCCACAGGGTAAGAGGACCAGGGCTCAAAAGTGGGAACAGTCTGCACCCCAGTCCATGGCCTCTTAAACTGCCTCTTATAAGCACTTTTGATGAGCTGGTCGAGGGCCTTAACAATGATACCTTACAACATCAGCTGCTATGTATACACTGGTCATGCCACTCAGAAGTCACCTTTCTCAACTTCACAGCAGTTAGGACCAGCTCTAAAGCAAGGAGATTGATTTTTAGCCCTGAACCTACAGGGTGCCTACTTCCATATCTCAATACAACCATCATACAGATTTCCTACTGCTTACCTTTGGGGCAGGATCATTATCAGTACAGACTGCTCCACCCACGGTATTGTTCAAGGTTCTCTTCATTGTAGCGGCATATTAACCCTGGTACAGTGACTGGACTTAATGAGCACCAACCTTGATGCAGTACAATATAGAGCGTTCCTCTCGCTACCCAGATTCACCATGCGGGGACGTCTCCCTAGTACACTGGGGAGGTCAACTACACAACCACAAGGTTCAGGACAAATGGCCTTACACAGAAATGACCTTCCATGTCATCTTTTGGGGCTAAGGGCTGTCAGGAGTGCCTCTGCACACTTTCTGCCTTTCATCAAAAACAACACACAAAGGTCATGGTGGACTTAATGTGACCTGTATGTTTTGTATAAACCGCCAAAGGGCTGCCAGATCTCCCACCCTCTATAAGACAGCACTCAAACTTTGGAATTGATGCACCCATCACAATGTGCTCATCTCAGCTGTCTATCTACCAAGTATACAGAACGTCACAACCAACAGGCTCAGTTGCAATTTTCTCATGACAATGAGTGTGTACTGAATTCAGAGGTGCTTCAAGATATATCCGCCCTTTGGGGAACCCTGACTATGGAATTCTTTGCTACTTAACAGAACAAGAAAGGTCCTTGTTACTGCTCCAGGGCTGGCCTGGGGAAACATTCACTGGCAGTTGCCCTCATCTTCCTATGGGACAGGGCCCACTTGTATGTCTTTTCCCAGTTTCCTACTCTATCCAAGATTCTGTTGAAAATTCAATGAGACAAAGCGAGAGTTATTCTGATTGCCCCTCTTGACCATGACAAGTCTGGCTCCCTTACCTGACACAGATGGCAATATGCCCTCCTGTTTCTCCTCAGCCTATTCTTCACTCTCTCAAAACAATGGGCTGACCCTTCACCCCAACCTACAGGTCCTCCACCTCCAGACTTGGCTCCTTCTTAGTTCCAAGGCTTAGAGGCAGAATGCTCTGACAAGCTGAAAGATGTGTTGCAAGACAACCAAAAGTTCACCACTTAACATACTTATCTACACAATGGAAACGACTCCAAGTTTGTCCATTCCAAACACACAGACCCAACCTCCTCTTTCCTTCCTCTGATTTTGCATTATATTTTAAACTCTCACTCCGCTCCCTTAAGGTACATCTCGCTGTGAAAACGGCTGTTTGCTCACCCACTAATGCGTAGATTCTTTAAGGGCACTGGGAATCTATTCCCGCATGTGACACCACCCGCTCCAGCCTGGGACTTTAACCTAGTTCTCAGGGCTTTGACTAGACCTCCCTCTGAGTCCAGGGCAACTTGTTCTCTCTTACACCTGTCAATGAAGACAGCATTTCTAATTGCCATCACCTCAGTTAGGCACATAGGAGAAATAGCGGCCCTGATGGCACATCCATCCTTCACAGCCTTTTTTTTTTTTTTTTTTTTTTTTTTAAGGACAAAGTAACTCTAAGGCCATATCCCAAGTTTCTCCCTACTTTCTCTGCACTTTCCATATGAATCAATAGATTCATCTCCCTGTTTTTTCCCAAAAACACATTGTGACAACTGGGAGATAATTGTGCATATGCTAGATATTAGAAGGACATTAGCATTCTACTTGGACAGGACTAAGGACTTCAGAAAATCCCCTAAACTCTTCCTTTTGTCCAAAAGCTCTCTGATATCAGCTCAAAGACTATCCAAATGGGTCTCTAGTTGCATTAATTACTTATAAAGGGCGCAACTTGCTTTCATCCAGAGTCCATATGCACTCCACAAGATCAGTTTTTACCTCAATCACATTCTGTAGGGATACCCCTATCTCAGCACTCTATAGAGCAATGACTTGGGCCTCTGCCCATACTTCTGCAGAACATTATGCGATCACTGAAGATTTGGCCGCAGACACCATCTTTGACTCCACAGTACTCTCTGTAGTAAAAGATTCCACTTCGAAGTCCCAGCCCCCAGTGGTGGATACTGCTCGGGAGTCACCTAGAGTGGAGCACACATAGGGACACTACTTGAAGAAGAAGAGGAAGTTACTCACCTTGTGCAGTAACCATGGTTCTTCAAAATGTGTGTCCCTATTGGTGCTCCACAACCGCCCTCCTCCCCTCTACTTCGGAGTTCTCTATAGGGCTCTGCAGCGGAGGAGGAGGTGAGGGGGGTTCACCCTTGCAGTGCTAAAGAGCCTCAAGGCAGACCATATGCATGGGCACATGCATGGGCTCAACGGACACTGCTACCAAAAATCTCCCATTAGAAGTGCAGCGGCGCACATACACCTACAGTGGAGCACCCATAGGGACATACATCTTGAAGAACCATCATTACTGCACAAGGTGAGTAACTTCCTCTTACTATATTTGTTACAGAAATGCAAAAGCCACTTTTAAATGTTGATTATCTGGACTATTTCATGTTTCCAGGAAAGCCTATGAAATGTTTTTGCTATTAAATGCATTAAAATTTTCCTCTTTCTGTAGAAAGCAAAGAATATGAGCCAAGAGAGCAAAGAAGGATGATGGGTGCAAGTCTCAAAGCAAATCTACATGACCTGCAGCAAGCACAAGCTCCTGCAGCAGGCCAAGTAGGAAAATACAGACCTGATGGTGAATACTGACTTAATAATCTATATGTACAATTAGCAAAAAATGGCAAGTTCTTTGGGGATTCCATGAAGCTATTACCAGCAGGACAGTGGGGTGGGAGGAGGTATTGTTTCATATTCTCTGTGTATATATAAAGTCTGCTGCAGTTTCCATGGTATGCATCTGATGAAGTGAGCTGTAGCTCACGAAAGCTCATGCTCAAATAAATTGGTTAGTCTCTAAGGTGCCACAAGTACTCCTTTTCTTTTCATGAAATTTCATTTATTTGTGAAACAAAAACATAAATGATCTTTCTTCCACCTGTGTGGTTTTCTCATTCTGCTTTTATGTACTGAGTGTAGAAGAGATCCATATGGCTGTTTGGTAGTAAAAGTAGGTGTGGGAGTATATTAGGACATTACTTATTCATGTAGAGTGAGTGAGGAAGTGTTCTAGGTGATCTGGACATTGTGGAAGAGAACTTGCTTCAAGATTCTTTTGTCCTATCCAGGGGCTTGTGCAGAGCTGGAAAAGAATCTGGAAGTTGCACCAGATCCCTCCCTACCCCAAAACACACTGCAGCAGATGATGTTGGCCATAACAAACAGTCTGGTTCACTGGAGTCTGAACTGAGGATCTATTAACCCCAGAAAATGTACATGTTTTCTTCCTGGTGGCTATGGAAGGCAAATAGAGACACTACTTCCCTATTGGTCATCCACAAACTTCATTGTCATCTAGCTGAGCCTGCCTTAGCTCAGAGCAAGACTGCTCCTAGAGATCAAGTTAGCTGACCCACCCCTTGCAAGCTGCCATATCCGCTTTCCCTCCCACCATTTCTACCCGTCTGAGCCTCCCATTCCTCTGTGGCTGTCAGTGCTCTTCCTAGCTAAGCAGAGGTGCATTTGGAACTTCACTTATTCCTCACTGCTCCTCCTGGAGAGACAGAGGTTGTTCCTCCTGGCTGGAGGGATGTGGAAAGCAACAGGGAGCCAAAGAAGAGAAGTAGGGGAATGTTGGATATAGAGAGAAAACTTATTCTGTAAGCAGGGAATGTGAGGGACTAAAAGAAGACTGAGGGGGTAGAGGGTAACAAGAGGGGCAGAATAAGTATTTTGAGGAATAGTGATATAGGTTGGAAACAGACTATGGGGGAGCATGAGGGGGAGAGCTCAGATAATATGGCTGTTTGTCATAGCTGACCATGATGTCATGACCTCATGTGTTCTTTTGTGACATCTGTTCATGGCCTTGCTCCTTGCAAACAGGTGTCACACAGGAACATATGGACTCACAGTGAAAACTTGGTATGACGCTTGGTCCTGTTTTCAGTCAGTTTTTCACATTTGAAGTGTTTACATTGACTGTCCTCCTTTGCTTTCTGAAGTTCAGCTCACCATAGAGTACTTTTTTCAGGAGTGTATCATCTTCCATGTTGATAACATGACCTGTCCATCTAAGCTGAGCTTTTATAATCATTGCTTTGATGCTGGTTGTTTTTGCTCCTTCAAGGATGGTAATGTTTGACACTTGTCTTGCCAGTGGGGCCTCAGAATAAAGTGAAGGCAATGCGTGTGATATTTTTCAAGTTGCTTGATGTGTCTGTGGTAAACTGTCCATGCTTCACACCCATAAAAAGGAATGCTATCACAGCTGCGCTGTATATCATCAGTTTTGTTGACAGTATGGTATGGTGTTTGAGTATCTTATGGTGAGGTCACCAAAAGCTTGGGTTGCCTTCGTATTCTGTCCAATATATGTTTTTGATCCAGGGAACCATCACTTGAGATGGTACTGTCATGATATGTTAAGTGATTGATGTTCTTTAGTTTATACCATCAATGGTAATATTTGGCTCAGTGGTTGTGGTTGATGGGGCTTCATTTTTTTCCAGGCTGACAGGGAGTCCAAACAGTAAGTTTCCTCTGATAACCTGCTAAGGACAAGGTGTAGGTCACTTTTGCTATGACTAAGTAGACCACAATCATCTGCAAAAAGGGTTTCACATGAGTTCCTCAAGAACTTTTGTATTTTCAGTAAACATTTGGAGATTGAAAATTCCTCAATAGTTCTATACCTTACGTAGATGCCTTTTTGAAGGTTGTCAGTTGTGTAATTCAGAATGGCTACAAAGAAGAGATCAAAGAGGACCAGTGCCAGAATGGAACCTTGTTTCATCCTATTATATATGGGGATGGGTTTGAGGTCACCATCTGAGATTACTCAATCACATCTTTGTGTAATTAACATATAATGTTACCTAATTTGATGGGGCAGCCAAACTTTTCTAGAATTTTCCAGGGGCCATTTCTGTTCAGAGTGTCCAATGCTTTTTTTAAGATCAGTGAAGATAACAATCAGTTCCATTTTGATGAATGCATTTTTCCTGAATCTCTCTCTCATGGCGTCCACTCACCACTAGGGGTGATGCCCTAAGTTCCCTCTAAGCTGCATTGCCAGCCTATTTAAGCATTGTGCAGGCGCTCAGGGCTGCGGCGGGGAGAGATTCCTCTCCCCCAACCCAACCCAGCTCAGCCCCACTCCATCTGCAGCTGGGGGGAGAGGTGCCTCTCCCGTCGCCCCAACCCAGCCCCGGATTGGACCTGTCATGGCAGTGGGAGAGGCGCCTCTCCCATGGCCCCAGAGCTGCCACTGCGGGGAGAGGCGCCCCTCCCCCCAGCCCAGGTGTTGCTGCAGGGAGAGAGAGCTGGGGGGGAGTCCTCTCTCCCCGCCATAGCCCCAGGGAAGCCTGCACCCCAAACCCCTCATCCCTGGCCCTACCCCAGAGCCTGGACCCCTAACCGGAGCCCAGCACATAAAATTCATTTCGCATATGGGTGGGAAAAATTAGAGGGAACACTGGTGCTGCCTCCTGGCCACTCTGGGGATTAGCTTCTTCCAAGTGCTGTGTGCTCCTCTGGCAGGCTCTCAACCTTTCTCTGCAACTCCAAGAACTCCTTCTTCACAACTTGGCCTCTGACCAGCTCACTATGCATGCTTCCCTCTTCTGGGATATAAAGTCTTCAGCATGAACTGTCCCAGACAGTCTGCTCTCCACTGCCCAGTCTATGTCACTTCCCCAGGGGGAACCCAGGCCCCCTGTCTACTCCGGGTTCCAGCTCGGGGGCCCTCTCTTCAGTTGCTATCCTATATCTTGCTGCTTTTCTCCTGAGCCTTTCCAGCTCTCCCACTTCTCTGGGGTTGCCAGCCCAAACCCCTTCCTGGCAGGCGGTAACTGTAAACTATCCTCTATAGCAGGGGTTCCCAAACTTGGCTTGCAGCTTGTTTGCGGCTTCCCATAGCTCCCATTGGCCAGGGGGGAGGGACAGCTCAGTGGTTTGAGCATTGGCCTGCTAAACCCAGGGTTGTGAGTTCAATCCTTGAGGGGGCCATTTAGGGATCTGGGGCAAAAACTTGTGGATTGGTCCTGCTTTAAGCAGGGGGTTGGACTAGATGACCTCCTGAGGTCCCTTCCAACCCTGATATTCTATGAAATACCTGTTTATGGTTCCACTGAAATCTATGAATGACAAACTCCACTGGGAGCTGCGAGCAGCCGTACCTACAGATGCTCAGGTAAACAAAGTGTCTCATGGCCCACCAGGGGCTTACCCTGAACAAGCCACGAACCAAATTTGGGAACTCCTGCTCTATAGTGTCAAACACATCTCCCAGGAAGTGACTTCAGACCACTTCCCTGCAGCCCCTAGCTGTGCTCAGCTCCTGGGCTTTATACAGGCCCTTGTTCCTGTCTAGCTGAGCCTTATCTAATTAATCCATGCTCCCTGGCTCCTTCTCCAGGTGCAGCCTGGGGAGTTAATTGGCCCAACTAGCCACCTTAATCCCTCAAGGGTTTGTGTGGGGGTGCCTGGCCCTTCACACTGTCTCACAACAAAAATAATTGTGTGGGTGGTATGCTGACCTGATCTAAATCCACATTGGGTGTCTGGTAGAATCTTCTCTGATACTATTTCAACAAGTCCATTGTGTAAAATACAAGCAAGGATTTTATCACCTACAGATATCAGGAAGATCCCCAGGTTGTTGCCATAGTCAGATTTGTTGCCTTTATTTCTGTATTGTGCAACTATGATTGCATCTTTGAAATCCTGAGGAATTTTCTCAGATATTCTTGATAAGTTCATCTAGATAATTGACAGTTTTGGGGCCTTAAATTTATAGATTTCAGCTGGTATACTGTCTTTGCCTGGTGATTTACCTAACTTCATTTGTTTGGTAACTTTGCATTCCTCAACAGTAAGTAATTGGGTGATATCTACATGTGAGGTGCTGGGTTAGTTCCTCTTGCAACTGTGTATTGATAATAAAGGGGTGGTGGAGTAGCTGTACCCATCTTTCAGCGATGTCTCTCTTGTTGTTAATTAAGGTACATTTGAACTCTTTAATGGAGCTGGTCAAATGTCCTAATAGTATGACTCTAGTTTACAGTGCCAGAGTTCAGATCCCATGGATGCTCCCCCTGTGGGAGTGAAAAATTCTGATACTAGGGTGATGATAGCAGCATAAAGACCGATATTGAAAAGAATGATACAGACTGTGGAGAATATGTGAGGTAGTAAATGTGGCAGGAGTGGAAAGAAAGGAAAGGATTAAGAGGGAGACTGATAGAGGAGTGAAATAGAGAGAATGAAAGCACCTCTACACCATAGCTTACAAGAATGAAAGCAGCTCCGAGCAGTTGGTGTGGAGGCTTATACATTTAAGCTTAAATATTGAATCTCAAAAGATCACACACAAACTGGGGATGGACAGTGTTTCTTGAAATATTCCATCATCAGAAGGCAGATGAAAAACAATGTGATTTATTTATTATATTTTAATATGGTTTTTAAGCCAATCTCAAAATTTTGTGGAGCTCTGCTCCATGAATCCATGCAGCTTGTTGGCAGTACTGCTTCACTTGTCCTCCTTCATTTCTCCTATGGCAAGTCCCACAAATCTCCATGCACACCTCCCCCTTCCCAAACTCAGAATAGTGGTCTTGGGCCAATAAACTTCCTATGGCTTTTCACAGAAGAGCATTGCCTTTAGTAAACCATGGGAAATTTGTCAGTGCTGAGGCTGCCTTAATAATAGTTTGGAATGCTGGTTCTGAATGGAGTTTACCTGTCAGTTTCCTCCTTTTCCTACCTGTAAAAGTTATAATTGTACTACAAACTAATAGATTATTTACTATCAATACTGCAGATATACAGTAATCACTTTTCATAGTTTGACATCAACGAAGGGTGATAATGAAATATTTCTTTGCAGAGAGGCAAGTACCTGACCTATTGGACACAGAAAGGCTTTTGCTCACAGATCTGCAACAAGCACAGGCTTTTGCTGCTAGCCAACCAGTCAGTATCAGTGGTAAGTACAGAGTTAAGGCTTGACCTACATTCTTTACTCAGATATAACTCAGTAGCAGTTGTGTGTGAAAATTCACTGAGCCATTCTCAACAGGAGTTTTGGGTGAGTAAGGTGTGCAAGATAAGGCCTTCACGAACATGAAGATCAATTCATCAAAAATCAGTTCTTGGAATTACCCCTCTGGATACCTCATGTAATCTCAGCAAGGCAATACCTCTTCCATTTCTCAGTTGTAGGTGTGATTATGTCCTAAAAAAGAGTGCTGGCCACAAACTGGAAAAAGGATTTCTTAGGCACGGTGATTTTCACTGTCTATATTTGAAAGGTAACAGGTTTGTTTTAAAAGCTGGGCGTCATTTAGTTAATAAGTATTTCCAGTCTCAGGATTTTACTGACCCAATATACTGCATTGGACTACTTCTGCTCATTTTCTGCTGCAGCAGATGCCATTTGAACAAAAAAGATAAAAATATGAACAGGAAGGAGATTTTTCATTTTATTTTTCAAGATATATTTAGATATATAGAATATTTTCCCTTTATAGACCATAATGGTTTCTATGAAGTGGTTTAATTTTATAATCTAAATTACCCTTTAGGCAATTTTCCGTAGTTATTATAAAAGTGTATTTAGTGTAAAAAGAAAAGGAGTACTTGTGGCACCTTAGAGACTAACCAATTTATTTGAGCATAAGCTTTCGTGAGCTACAGCTCACTTCATCGGATGCATACTGTGGAAACTGCAGAAGACATTATATACACAGAGACTATGGTTTCTGTGTATATAATGTCTTCTGCAGTTTCCACAGTATGCATCCGATGAAGTGAGCTGTAGCTCACGAAAGCTTATGCTCAAATAAATTGGTTAGTCTCTAAGGTGCCACAAGTACTCCTTTTCTTTTTGCGAATACAGACTAACACGGCTGTTACTCTGAAACCTGTATTTAGTGTAGTTACTGGAGAAATTCAAAAACTTTTCTCAATTAAATAACTTGTTTATTACCTATTAAAGAGAAAAGACTTTTTTTTCCTATTGAACACACTAAAAATGTCATCTTTCTTGTAGTAGCATACATGTACTAAATAAGCAAAAAAGAATCTTGGCAGCAAGTATAAAGGCAAATCTACACAAACACAATCAGCAGGCCAAATAAGAAAATACAGACTCAATCATGAGTGTGAAGTAAACAACTTAGTTAACAAAAATTATGAATTCACTGGTGATTCAGTGGGCTTCTATGAATCTAAGTTTTGAACCAAAAATGTAAATTCTCTCTCAAACCTGTGAAGCTTTCTAAATCAGCTTTTTAATAGTCAATGTAACTATCATTTTGTGTATATGAGAAGCCATTCACACTGATGAGATATGCTCAGTTCACCCTGGAGTATACCCAGAGAATTGTGTTATTTTCATATAGGGGAGCACTCTAAAAAGTTTCCTGCCATCTCTGCCATTAACTTTGTCTTAAATTGGTAACACCAGGAAAGTTAGTGCACCATGTAAGTTCATTCACAGCAGTCATGATGAGGGACCCTGGCACAGGGTTTAAAAAATGTTGCTCAAACCACTGAGAGGGAACTTGATAATGTTGATCTGTCCTCTTTGAGATGGGCACAAGGGAGGCTGGGGTTTGCCAAAGTAATTTGACTGTGTCAAGCAATGCTTCTTTGATAGGAGGCACCACTCTTCCTGGTGCTGCTGTCTGAAAAATGCGGAGGAGTTTGTGTGGATTTTCCTGCACCGTCTGAGTCTGAATCATCAGGGTTGATGCCACTCTCCACATCAAGTCCTGGAAGGTCATAAAGTCCTCTGGGTTGGGTGAGGGCATCTCAGGAGCAGTCAACTCATCAGATGAAGAAATCTGAACTGGGGCCTGATACATGTCATCTTGCACCTCCTCGTCCAGTGGCTCTAGACTGGAAAACTATTTGGGTATTAGAGGTGTTAAGGTTTCCTTCCTCGTTGCCACAGGTGAAGGAGATTTAGATTTGGAGTGAGGTACCAACATAGATCTTGGGTCACAAGGAGCAATGCAGGGAGCCCAGTATGGCCATAGTGTAGCCATAGTGCCCATATTGCATAGGAGAACCCCATGGAGTTTAGTCCCTGGGTATGGATCTCTTGTCCACAAGCACGTGTCCTAAAGGAGTGTCTCTAATGCAGAAGGAGTCAGAGCCCAAGATCTGAAGGATCTAGAGAGGGAACCTTATTTACCACTGCGTAATTCAGAAGAGAAAAAGTAGTACTCTTCCTGAAAAGGCAGAGCGGTACTGGTCAGTGTCATGGTTTGATTTTTGAAGATGCACAGCCCTGAGTAAGTAGTAGCTGGAGGTGGTTCTGATGGTAGTACTGATGTCAGAGCTGTTGTGGCACCCAGGTCAGATTTTATGTACTCTGTATCAGGGCTATGTGCTGAAGGAGAGATGGCATAGACAGGCATAGCAGGTCTTTGGCCATCAGAAATGCCTGTAAGAGAAAGCAGCCATACACACACAGCTGAAGATGATGGCACTGGGATCAATGGTACCAGAGTCAACAAGGCAAAAGTTATCAGCGTCAACAAAGTCAGGTTTTGATGGTACTGCAGTGGATGATACAGAAGATGTTGCTCTGAACAGTGCAGATGATGTCGCTACTGGAGTAAATGGCACCACCTCATGTGGTACCAGGGAGTGGCGCTCCATGAGCTGCACTATTGCTTTTCTGCTGGAGAACTTTCCGTGTCTGTCTGAGCTATGATGGGTAGAGTCTTCTGAGGGATGAGGTACCCTTCAGGGGTCTCAACTTATTCTTCTCAACTAGAGTAGAAGACGTCTTGGGCAATTTTGAAGAAGACCTAGAGATGAGGTGAGCGAGCTCTCCCCTCCATGAGCCTTTTTTTGAAGGGGCAGAAGAAGCTGGTGGGGCACTCTTTGTTGAAGAGTGTTCTGTTCCTTCACGTGCAACATAGCCCAACTCAGAACAGGGATGCATTGTCTTTTCTAGAAAGTGTTCCCTCAGGTATATCTGCCAGAATTTGCATGCCTTGGACAGGAAGGACTTCAAATATTGTGTTTCTCCTTTAAATGTCCATCACCATATCAAAACAGGTAGTGGGAATGCCCATCATTAAAGGGCATTGCTGCCTACCAGGTCAGACATTGTTTAAATCTTAGAGACTTCTGCATAGCTAATGGCAGAGACAACAGCAGGAACAAAGTAAAAAAGGAGGATCCCCGTTAAAAAGGAAACTAAAACTTAATACCTACCTATACTTATCTATTAACATTATAGTCTAACTATTTACAATAAGTTGAAAAATTGCTAACTGAGGGAACCGGAACTCAAAGAAATATGGAGCGCTCCAACTTGCACAACAGGCAGTGAAAATGAATTGAGAGGGACTCAGTATCCCTGTCTTGTATGGAAGTCATACTGGGCTCATGCACTCCCCACAATGATACTCCCCACAATGATACAATGAGCCATCATGTGCCAGCAATGCCCCTTTGCCATGTACACTGGTCAAACTGGACAGTCTCTACGTAAAAGAATAAATGGACACAAATCAGACGTCAAGAATTATAACATTCAAAAACCAGTTGGAGAACACTTCAATCTCTCTGGTCACTCGATTACAGACCTAAAAGTGGCAATACTTCAATAAAAAAACTTCAAAAACAGACTCCAACGAGAGACTGCTGAATTGGAATTAATTTGCAAACTGGATACAATTAACTTAGGCTTGAATAGAGACTGGGAGTGGATGGGTCATTACACAAAGTAAAACTATTTCCCCATGTTTATCCCCCACCCCCCACTGTTCCTCAGATGTTCTTGTCAACTGCTGGAAATGGCCCACCTTGATTATCACTACGAAAAGCTTCCCCACACCCCCTGCTCTCCTGCTGGTAATAGCTCACCTTAAGTGATCACTCTCTTTACAGTGTGTGTGGTAACACCCATTGTTTCATGTTCGCTGTGTATATAAATCTCCCCACTGTATTTTCCACTGAATGCATCCAATGAAGTGAGCTGTAGCTCACGAAAGCTTATGCTCAAATAAATTTGTTAGTTTCTAAGGTGCCACAAGTACTCCTTTCCTTTTTGCGAATACAGACTAACATGGCTGCTACTTTGAAACTTGTCATCATTTAGTTGATAAGCATTTCTGACAGTCCCAATATGCTCTACCAGTCCACTACTGCCCATTGTCTACCTTCATGAAAGGCCATTATACTATAAAAGTAAAAAAGTAAGCAGGTAGGAAAAAATATTTTTTAGTTTTTTGAGATAAATTTAGAACATTCTTTAAACATAAACAGTATTTTTACCTGATGGTTTCTGTGAAGTGGTTTAATTATATAATCTGAAAGATCTTTCTAGATGTTTTTCTGTGATTATTGTAGAAAATGTATTTAGTAGAGTTATTAGAAAAATTGAAAAGCAATTTTCTTTGTTAAATATCTTGTCTATTTCATGTTAGAGAACATGTATCAAATGCTTAATTACCATTTTTCTAGTGTAGTGGTTTTCAACCTTTTTTCATGTGCGGACCCCTAGAAATTTTTGAATGGAAGTGCAGACCCCTTTGGAAATCTTAGACATAGTCTATGGACCCCCAGAGAACCATGGACCACAGGTTGAAAACCAGTATTATATGATAACGACACCCTTTCGCAGACCCCTTAGACATCATCTGCAGATCCCCAGGGGTCCGTGGACCACAGATTGAAAGCCACTGTTCTAGTGAACACACTAAAAGCTTTCTGTTTCTGTAGAGAAAAAAGTATATGGGCTAACTCAACAAAGAAGGATGTTGACTTCAAATTTAGAAGCAAATCTACAAGATCTGCAACAAGCCCAAGCTCTTGCAGCAGGCCAAGTAGTAAAATGCAGACCTGATGGTGACGGTGAGTGCAGAATTGATAACTTACATGTACAGTCAGAAAAATTGTAAGTTCTTCTGGAGATTCCTTTTTCTGCCATGGATAAAATGCTTAAAAGAAGAATATAAATTAATTACTGATGTTTTTCCACTTCTGAAGCTTTTAAATCTGTCATTTGGATACTTTATGTAAACTGGTAAGAGACTCTACAATTTCCCATATATAAGAAGCAGTCCACATATATGAGATGATTTACTAGCCCTGGTCTACACTACGAGTTGAGGTCGAATTTAGCAGCGTTAAATCGATTTAACCCTGCACCCGTCCACACGACAAAGCCCTTTTTTTGACTTAAAGGGCTCTTAAAATCGATTTCCTTACTCCATCCCCGACAAGGAGATTAGCGCTTAAATCGGCCTTGCCAGGTCGAATTTGGGGTACTGTGGACGCAATTAGACGGTATTGGCCTCCGTGAGCTATCCCAGAGTGCTCTATTGTGACCGCTCTGGACAGCACTCTCAACTCAGATGCACTGGCCAGGTAGACAGGAAAAGGCCTGCAAACTTTTGAATTTCAATTTCCTGTTTGCCTGGTCACCTGCAGCTTGCCACGCTGGCCAGAGCTAATCTGCAGAAGTGACCATGCAGAGCTCATCAGCAGAGGTGACCATGATGGAGTCCCAGAATCGCAAAAGAGCTCCAACATGGACCGAACGGGAGGTACGGGATCTGATCGCTGTATGGGGAGAGGAATCCGTGCTATCAGAACTCCATTCCAGTTTTCGAAATGCCAAAACATTTGTCAAACTCTCCCAGGGCATGAAGGACAGAGGCCATAACAGGGACCCGAAGCAATGCCGCGTGAAACTTAAGGAGCTGAGGCAAGCCTACCAGAAAACCAGAGAGGCAAACTGCCGCTCCGGGTCAGAGCCCCAAACATGCCGCTTCTATGATGACCTGCATGCCATTTTAGGGGGTTCAGCCACTACTTCCCCAGCCGTGTTGTTTGACTCCTTCAATGGAGATGGAGGCAACACAGAAGCAGGTTTTTGGGATGAGGAAGATGATGATGATGAAGTTGTAGATAGCTCACAGCAAGCAAGCGGAGAAACCGGTTTTCCCGACAGCCAGGAACTGTTTCGCACCCTGGACCTGGAGCCAGTACACCCCGAACGCACCCAAGGCTGTCTCCCGGACCCGCCAGGCGGAGAAGGGACCTCCGGTGAGTGTACCTTTTTAAAATACTATACGTGGTTTAAAAGCAAGCATGTTTAATGATTAATTTTCCCTGGCATTTGCGGCTCTCCTGGATGTACTCCCAAAGCCTTTGCAAAAGGTTTCTGGGGAGGGCAGCCTTATTCCGTCCACCATGGTAGGACACTTTACCACACCAGGCCAGTAGCACGTACTCAAGAATCATTGTAGAACAAACCATTGCAGTATATGTTTGCTGGCATTCAAACAACATCCGTTCTTTATCTCTCTGTGTTATCCTCAGGAGAGTGATATCATTCATGGTCACCTGGTTGAAATAGGGTGCTTTTTTTAAGGGGACATTCAGAGGTTCCCGTTCCTGCTGGGCTGTTTGCCTATGGCTGAACAGAAATGTTCCCCGCTGTTAGCCACAGGGAGGGGTGAGGGGCTAGCCATGTGGTAGGGGGAGGCAAAATGCGACCTTGGAACGAAAGCACATGTGCTATGTATGTAATGTTAACAGCAAGGTTTACCGTGAAAGAGTGTACCCATTGTTCTATAAAATGTGTCTTTTTAAATATCACTGTCCCTTTCTTTTTTCTCCACCAGCTGCATGTGTTTCAAGGATCATAGGATCTTTTCCTTCCCAGAGGCTAGTGAAGATTAGAAGACGAAAAAAACGCACTCGTGATGAAATGTTCTCTGAGCTCATGCTGTCCTCCCACACTGACAGAGCACAGACGAATGCGTGGAGGCAGACAATGTCACAGTGCAGGAAAGCACAAAATGACCAGGAGGAGAGGTGGCGGGCTGAAGAGAGTAAGTGGTGGGCTGAAGAGAGGGCTGAAGCTGAAAGGTGGTGGCAGCATGATGAGAGGAGGCAGGATTCAATGCTGAGGCTGCTGGAGGATCAAACCAATATGCTCCAGCGTATGGATGAGCTGCAGGAAAGGCAGCAGGAGCACAGACCGCCGCTACAGCCCCTGTGTAACCAACCACCCTCCTCCCCAAGTTCCATAGCCTCCTCACCCAGATGCCCAAGAACACAGTGGGGGGGGGGCCTCCAGCCACTCCACCCCAGAGGATTACCCAAGCAACAGAACGCTGGCATTCAATAAGTTTTAAAGTTTTAAACTTTTAAAGTGCTGTTTGGCCTTGTCCTTCCCTCCTCCACCACTCCTCCTGGTGCTTCTCTCCTCCACCACCCCTCCTGGGCTACCTTGGTAGTTATCCCCCTATTTATGTGATGAATGAATAAAGAATGCATGAATGTGAAGCAACACATTTATTGCCTCTGCAAGTGGTGATCGAAGGGAGGAGGGGAGGCTGGTTAGCTTACAGGGAAATAGAGTGAACCAAGGGGTGGGGGATTTCATCAAGGAGAAACAAACAGACCTTTCACACCGTAGCCTGTCCAGTCATGGAACTGGTTTTCAAAGCTTCTCTGATGCACACCACACCCTGCTGTGCTCTTCTAACTGCCCTGGTGTCTGGCTGCACGTAACCAGCAGCCAGATGATTTGCCTCAACCTCCCATCCTGCCATAAACGTCTCCCCCTTACTCTCACAGATATTGTGGAGCGCACAGCAAGCAGCAATAACAGTGGGAATATTGGTTTCAGTGAGGTCTAACTGAGTCAGTAAACTGCACCAGCGCACTTTTAAACATCCAAATGCACATTCTACCACCATTCTGCACTTGCTCAGCCTGTAGTTGAACAGCTCCTGACTACTGTCCAGGCTGCCTGTGTATGGCTTCATAAGCCATGGCATTAAGGGGTAGGCTGGGTCCCTGAGGATAACTATAGGCATTTCAACATCCCCAACAGTTATTTTCTGGTCTGGGAATAAAGTCCCTTCCTGCAGCTTTTGAAACAGACCAAAGTTCCTGAAGATGCGAGCGTCATGTACCTTTCCCGGCCATCCCATGTTGATGTTGGTGAAACATCCCTTGTGATCCACCAGTGCTTGCAGTACTATTGAAAAGTACCCCTTGCGGTTTATGTACTCACTGGCTTGGTGCTCCGGTGCCAAGATAGGGATATGGGTTCTGTCTATGGCCCCACCACAGTTAGGGAATCCCATTGCAGCAAAGCCATCCACTATGACCTGCACATTTCCCAGGGTCACTACCCTTAATAGCAGCAGCTGCTTAATGATTGCATTGGCTACTTGCATCACAGCAACCCCCACAGTAGATTTGCCCACTCCAAATTGATTACTGACTGACAGGTAGCTGTCTGGCATTGCAAGCTTCCACAGGGCTATTGCCACTCTCTTGTGAACTGTGAGGGCTGCTCTCTTCTTGGTATTCTTCTGCTTCAGGGCAGGGGAAAGCAAGTCACAAAGTTCCATGAAAGTGCCCTTACGCATGCGAAAGTTTTGCAACCACTGGGAATCGTCCCAGGTCTGCAACACTATGCGGTCCCACCAGTCTGTGCTTGTTTCCCGAGCCCAGAATCGGCTTTCCACCGCATGAACCTGCCCCATTAGCACCATGATGCCCACATTGCCAGGGCCCGGGCTTTGAGAGGAATCTGTGTTCATGTCCTCATCACTCACATCACCGCGCTGACGTCGCCTACTCGCCCGGTATCACTTTGCCAGGTTCTGGTGCTGCATATACTGCTGGATAATGCGTGTGGTGTTTAATGTGCTCCTAATTGCCAAAGTGATCTGAGCGGGCTCCATGCTTGCCGTGGTATGGCGTCTGCACATAAAAAAGGCGTGGAACGATTGTCTGCCATTGCCCTGATGGAGGGAGGGGTGACTGACGACATGGCTTACAGGGAATTAAAATCAACAAAGGGGGTGGCTTTGTGAGAAACTGAATGACCCCCTCAAGGATAGAACTCAAAACTTCAAGGATCAAACTCAAAGCTCGGTTTAGCAGACGGTTGATTTCACAAAGGGAGGGAGGGAGGGAGGGAGGAGAAAATGAATACAAAACAAATCTGGTCTATTTCTTGTTTTCAGCCACTTCATCTATCTTTAAACATCTTGTTGGCAGCAGACTGTGCAGTACGACCGCTAGCCATTGTCAACACCTGGGTGCTCGGCAGAAGACGGTGCAGTATGACAACTAGCCATCATCTTCTGCTAGCTGCAGGTTAAAAGACAGTGCACTGCTGGTAGGACTGAATCGCCATGAGACGAAACAAGGGAAGTGACCTGGTTGAGTCACTCCTATGTTTGCCCAGGCGCCCGGTTAAAAGAGCACCCAGGACTACGTCGATGACGGCTACCAGTCACACTGCACTGTCTGCTGCCAAAAGGCAATAAACTGCTGCTGTGTAGCAATGCAGTACCACTTCTGCCAGCACCCAGGAGACATACGGTGAGGGTTAGCTGAGCGGTCTCCATGCTTGCCGTGGTATGGCGTCTGCACAGGTAACTCAAGAAAAAAGGCGCAAAATGATTGTCTGCCCTTGCTTTCATGGAGGGAGGGAGGGAACAGGGGCCTGACGATATGTACCCAGAACCACCCACGACAATGTTTTAGCCCCATCAGGCACTGGGATTTCTACCCAGAATTCAAATGGGTGGCGGAGACTGCGGGAACTGTGGGATAGCCACCCACAGTGCAACGCTCCGGAAGTCTACGGTTGCCTCGGTACTGTGGACACACTCCGCCGACTACATGCATTTAGAGCATTTGTGTGGGGATACACACAATCAACTGTATAAAAACGCTTTCTACAAAACTGACTTCTATAAATTCAACCTAATTTTGTAGTGTAGACATACCCCTAGTGTCTGAACTGAACATGGAGTAAGGAAAGAATCTCATGGAAGATCAAAAATTGACTGCCATCTCAACAACTAACACCT